TTATGACGATGATTACTCTTCGATACGAGATTAATCTATTGCATCGATGGTATACGGTTATCTTATTCATAATCATTGTGAAAACGTGCCCTGCGACCATCCGTCCTAGTCACCAACTGTCTATGCAACCAATTGTCCTGCGACCAACTGCCCGGGCGCAACTTGTCCCCGGGCAACTGTCCGAATCCCGTTAGGAGACCTTAAAATACTATTTGAGTCTCATAGTTAATAAACTATTTGTGCGTGCTTAAAGTTGATCATATGCGACAAACTGAGCACAAAAGAAAAATGTTTTGTAGAAATTATAACAAATGGACGTGTATCTTTTTGTCATTCTCGGATGACATCTTCGTTTTCCTTGTCAAGTGTATTCAATTATTGATTGATATCTACATAGGAAAGAATTGAGAGTTTGAAGCTTTTATAAAAAGATAAAATAGTGTGACGATCGTAGAATCTTGTCTAAATTATGCTTCAACTGATCTTACTCCTTACATACCCATGTCTACTGTCGAGTTGCTTGGAGACTTTCTTTCGATGTGTAAGAGATAGGTGTGCGATTGTAGATCTTGGAATAGTTAGGTTCCACTCAAGAAGAGAATTCTAATGATTCATGTTGTAACTGTTTTCTAGGATCAAAATAGTATTCAAGCATTGTATGGAAAAAAGCAAAATCCGATGACAACTGCGCGTCCAAGTAGACATGTTAGATCAATAAAGAACAAAAAAAGAAAAACAACAAAAAAACAAAGAACGACAACCGAAAAAAGTGAGTGTCTAATAACTATCAAGAAAAGTTATCTTTTAATCAAAGTATGCTATCTATTTGTAATTCTAAACAGCATGGTCTGTTTTTGAATAGCTCATGGACCCAAGCAACTAATAACCTATGCCTGAAATTGTGAGAAAGAAAAGAAACTTGTAGATATTGACTTCCATAATGTTCGATTAGTTCAATATAGAAGTGAATAATCAGCTAAGGGTGACAGTTGTCAGAGAGCGAGAGAGCAGTAGTCATCAGAGGCTGAATTGTTAAAAACTACAATCGCAATAGCAAGAATATCGGAAGAAAATGCGTTTTCTTTATTTAAACTCATCAGTCTTTCGCTAATGATTGTCAAAATGCCAGTCATATCCCTGAGATTTACGATTCGATTGTTGCTAACAAATGATCATCCGAGAGATAAGAGAAAGGAACAAACGAAATCTATCAGATGTTTGTCTCATTTCAGTCCAAGTCGAGTGTTCTTGAAAACAAAGATCATCCCATTGCTTATTGTGTTTGATAGTGTTCGTCCAAGTAGTTGTTGCCAGATCAATTAAAGGCAATTGCTCAATGGTAGATCATGGACATAGGACAGCGATGTCATCTAAATAGAAAAAAATTGAAAGAGAAACAGACAATGAGGAAGAGAGATATCCATTCTAGACATTACCAGGGAAAAAAAGATAATCATTTGTAAGAGAATAGTTGAGTCTCATTCTGACATCCATCCACAGGCGAGCAAAGGACGGGTAAAAAGACTAGTCTGTTATCTAGTCCAGACGGCACATCCGGTATAGTCTTTTTCTCAAAACGGACTGCTAGATGACTAGTCCGAAATCATTTGGAACGTTTAGTACCCGTCCGGACACCCGTCCAAAATAGATTGTAAATTAAAAAAGGAAGAGCATCAGTGACGTGACATCTATTAGGATCTAATTCTATCTAGTGGTCTAGTCCGAACTAGTCTAAATGATAGAAGTATGTGCACAGAGTTAGATTCGAACATGCATAGCATATGTTACTTATACTTTACCCCGTTGAACCATATGATCAAGTGATCAACTTTGACATGTCGATAGACACTCTAAAATGCTAATTAATATGGTTTGAGTCACACTTTCTTAAATTTTAATATTAATAAAAATGTTTATTATATAATAACAAATTAGCTAAATAAAATTAATTGAGAACTTTTTAACTCTCCTTGAAAAGAAATTTTTTTTTGATCCTCGATCTTTGGAAAAAATTATTTTCTATTTGAAAAACTGTTAACATTTTAAATGAAAACAAAACTAATCTATATTTTCAAAAAATCTTGCCTTTCACATCATAGTTTACGCATATTTTCATTTACAACATTGTCGATTTAAATTTGAAACTAACAATGGAACGGTTTGTACTGATAAGCTAGCCGGACGACCCTGTAAGGTGCAAATGATCACACTCATTGAGAAACTCATAAATTTAAAATATGAGCTGCTGATGGCTTACTCGGGCAGAGATATGCTGTTTTTAAGTTGTACATTAATAGAGTATTGAAACATAATAATATATGAAATATCGACATCAGCTTTTAACATAATCATCAGGTTTGCTAAGAAGTGCATTTCAAAAATCAAGATGAGATTTACTGATACTATTTAGATTAATCTAGATATCATGTCTATTGAATTTTAACAGTATCTAGTACATATTATATCGAGTATTATATACGGAAATTCCTAAATTATTCATAGCTTCGACTTAATTTATTGATAAACTATGAACAATAATATTGCACAAAAATGCAGTATAAATGAAGATGAAGATCTTCTATCAAGTGGTAGTAGCAAAGATGTTTGTCAAATTATTTATTGATGCATCAATGCATTTTATTTTCGAATATCTTATATGTGAACATTTCAAATGTAATACTTCTTGTTTTGAATTCGATATTGTGAAAATTCATTAGAGGTCATATCTAGATTTATATCAATAGTGTCAATAGGTCTTATCTTGGTTTTTGAAATGCACTTCTTAGCAAATTTGATGATTATGTTAAAAGCTGATGTCGATATTTCATGTATTATTATGTTTCAATACTCTATTAATACACAACTTAAAAACTGAATATCTCTGCCCGGGTAAGCCATCAGCAGCTCATATTTTAAATTCATGAGTTTCTCAATAAGTGTGATCAGTTGCACCTCACAGGGTCGACCGGCTAGCTTCTCAGTACAGACCGTTCCATTATAAGCTATAATTCTATGATTTAAACCACCTTTTTACTTCAAATCATCAGATTTTATACTAAGATAAAATAATATTCTCATAGAAAAATACGAAAATTCATTGCTCTAGTAAAACTGTTCTTAATTATTGTTACAGTCTAAAAATTCAAAGGACATAAATAGGCAACTCTCGTTGGATACATTGTTCTAGTCTCCATATGAACAAGTCTAAATGAGTTGTTCGGATAATGAAGTGCAATCAAAAGAGACTATCTAAGGAGTTTAGACTAGTTTGAATCAAAATTGACACTAGTCCCTTAAATACAATTAGTCATGAGTAAAACAAGTGACTCTTCATATTAGTCCGGATTGCTATTGAAAACAATCTGGACTAGTTGGGTATTCAATATTGCCGAACCGAATGTTCGAATCCACCTATTGTCTCCTTTTCTTCTGACTTTTGTCGTTATGCTGACGCGTCTGGACAGTATGATTATACAAAACGGACTAGTCTACATAAAGTTGCAAGACTTTATGCGTCAAGACAACTAGTTCTGACGGGCTGCAAGGCATTTCAGACTAGAACAGACGGCAGTACGAACATTTGACACTGGTCATGTCGGGCGTCCTCCCTTATTTTTTGTTTGCCTGGATCGACTTTGCTTAAAAGATATATTTACCTATCTCTCCACACTAATATGAAAAGAGGTGTAACTGACGCTCTTGAAGATAAGGATGAGGGTGTTAGTGTAAGTAAGGTTTTATGCACAGATTTGAGTGTGGGTACAATAAGATGAGAGTATTAGTATGGGTGAGATTTTGGTTTGAATGTGGATTTTAGCGTAGGTAGATGGCTGTATGTAAGATACTGGTAGGTGTAGGTCTGAGGTTTGATAAGAGACGTATACAATAGGTAGAGCCATATTGAGATTCACACACTCATCGTCATCTTCATTGAGACCTGAAAACTCATGGAAGCCTATGGTCGGATTCTTACTGAGCACCTATTCTGCGTGGAAGTGTTATGGATGAGAGCATCTATACTCGAAGGTATCATGTGCTGAAAAGCCGTGTGCGGAAATATGGTTGCAATAGTATCAGTTCGAAAATGTTGCCGACCGAAACATTGTGGAATCATATAAAGTAACAGTCTTGAATATTCCTCGTAATAGACTGCACAAAATTTTTTTGTCGATATTTAAACAAACATTTTATTATTTTATTGTCTACTTGCATTTATTATTTGCTAACAGATTTCAAAACGGGTGATGAAGAACAAGTGGTAAGATTTGAAGCTGCTGAACTAGCTAAAATAGAAAAAATGATCAAGGAAATGCAACCTGATAATACTTTAATTGCATTTAAAGATTTATCGACTATTATTAATAATGCTATTTATATGCTTCCAACAAAAGTTATTCCTATTTTACAACGGTTGTATGTTTCTTATTCCAGAATAAGAACGGTGATTAAAGCTGGTTTTACGAGTTCAAGTGATATACTTTCAGAATTTGTAATACAAAGCTGGCAAGTGATACAACATGGTATGAATAAAAAAGATCAAAAGGCGTTAATGACTGTTAGAAACCAGTTAAACACATCTTTTATCGATGATCTAGACACATTTGTTGAATCATCAAGAGCTGAATTGGTTGAGATTCAGTCACAATTATTGCTTGAAGCAACTGGTGGTAAAGTTCAGTATCTGCTAGATAAAAGAAATGAATTAGAGCCTGATTTCTTACAATTATCAGTATTGTTAAAAAATAAATCTTCTGAATGTGGTACCAATCAAGGGATAATTGATTTATTAGAACTAGATGCATTACTTAACAATATCAGTTCTGCAATTACTAAAAATCATACGATAATTGATACAGAGCGATCGGTAAAAATAAAAACTGTTCCTTCTGGATTTACTGCAGATTATGTATCAACAAGAGACAAAATGAAGTTAGAAGCAGCCAAATTTAAAGAACAAA